GGGGTCACTCTCACCCTCCCAAGCCCACTTTCCATAGCTGAGTAAACTTTATGAAACATACATTTCGTCTCATCCCTTCCTTGCTTAAAACTCTTAATGCCTTCTTGCCATTGCCTTTGGAACAAAACAGCACATCTTTGGCATAGTTCCAGGTCCTGTGTGCTCCTTTCCCTCAAAACCTTCCCTGCCTCACTCTGATCCCACTGCCCTGAGCTCCCTCCACCCTGGCTCCCACAGCCACGATAACCCAAGTGCTTTCCCACCTCCAGACTGCACATGCTGTTCCCTTTGCCTGGGTTACCTTTCCCTCTTTCTTGACTTGCTAACACCTAGCATCTGCAGACGTGGCTTAAATGTCACTTCCCAACCAGGTGCGGTGGCTCACACTTATAATCCCAGCACTCTGGGAGGCCGAGGTGGGCAGATGAACTGAGGTCAGGAATTCAAGACCAGCCTGGCCAACATGGTGAAATCCCATCTCTACTAAAAACACAAAAAATTAGCTGGGCGTGGTGACGGGCACCTGTAATCCCAGGTATTCGGGAGGCTGAGGCAGAAGAATCGCTTGAACCCAGGAGGCGGAGGTTGCAGTGAGCTGAGATCATGCCATTGTATTCCAGCCTGGGCAAAAAGAGTAAAACTCCACCTCAAAAAAAAAAGTCACTTCCCTGTAAAAGTGATCAGCCCTCCCTGACCACTCTCCCATAGAGCCTGGGCCCACCTTATCCTTCACGGTACTTGGCACGACTTGTAACCGTGCATGTAAGTGTTTAAGATTCACAAGGGCAGGGATGGTTATCGTATTTAGGGTTGAAGCCTGAGCAGAAAGAACAGGGCTTGGCACATAGTAGGTGGTCCCTAAATTGTTGCTGAATGAGGGATTAGCGATGATGTTTTAAAAGGAAATAACTCAGATAGGATGAGAGTATGAGATATGGAGAGGGTTTGACAAAGGCCACAGGAATGACAACAGGGGGGTCAGCTCCCACCCCCACCAACATTCCATCCTCGTCACATTTTGTCATGGGATAAGCAGGTGGATTTCTCAAGTTTCTGGGAAGGAATTTCACCCTGTCCTGGCTCCTTTGCTGGATTTCTTTTTCTGACATTTCCCACGTAGCTACTTTGAAGCTAGGCAGTGTGCTAGGCTCCAGGGATATGGGCAGGCCTTCCTGGATGCTATCTGTTCTCCTGCGCCTGCCCCATCCTAACTTCATCCCCCATCTCAACCCCAGCAGCTGCAGCTCAGCCTCTCTCTCCTAGCACCTCTTCCATTCCCACCCTGGGATTCCTCAACCCAGCCAGCATCTAAAGAGCTTCCTCATCAGACAGATCATTTGACCAGAAAGCCCTGTGCCAACATATCCGAAGGGATCCTCCCTCTGTTGCTGCACAAGAGACGATGAATTCACAAGCCTTTGCTGCAGTCTCAGGCCTCCGCTTCATGCATCTTCCTCTAAGGGCCTTGCGGGTCTAAGCACAGCTCCTTCCGTTCTTTTCATTCACACTCGTCCAGGAGTGTTATTTTAATCTCACAGGTCTCCTTCCCCATCCATCCTCACCGGTCCCAAATGATCACTCCACACATTGCTGGTGGGAGTGTAAATTGGCACCACCCTAAGGAGCATGACGTGGCTGTTTCTATCAAAACTTGAAGGGGTGGCCTGCCCCTCCACACCTGTGGGTGTTTCTCGTTAGGTGGAACGAGAGATTTGAGAAAAGAAATGAGACACAGAGACAAAGTATAGAGAAAGAAAAAGTGGGCCCAGGGAACCGGCACTCAGCTTACAGAGGACCCACGCCAGCACCAGTCTCTGAGTTCCCTTAGTATTTACTGATAATTATCTTTACCATCTTAAAGACAAGGGAGTGATGGCCGGGCGCGGTGGCTCAAGCCTGTAATCCCAGCACTTTGGGAGGCCGAGACGGGCGGATCACAAGGTCAGGAGATCGAGACCAGCCTGGCTAATACGGTGAAACCCCGTCTCTACTAAAAAAATACAAAAAACTAGCCGGGTGAGGTGGCGGGCGCCTGT